TTTTTTTTTTGTTTTTTTAAACATTTACAGTGCATTACATTTATTTGACAGCTCAATTAAATCAATAAGATAATTTTTTTTCCTAATAATCAGTTAATCCCTTTAACTAATGATTCCTAATCATCTCTTGACATAGGATCATTCTGGCTTTTTAATTTGTAGCCGGGACCGCATGGTCCAAAAATAATAAACTTTGCTAATTTGAAGATAAACTCTAGTCAAAACTTTTAGCAAATCTTTTAGCAAACTTTTTAGCATAAACTTGGAGCAACATTGTAATATAAAACAGCAACCAAAAGATCACTTTGGTTTTTCGAACTGTCAAATAAATGTAAGACATTGTAAAAAAAGCCAAAGTGGTCCTTTGATATGTTTGTTTACCACCTGTTCTCTATTCAAATCGCGGTGCCACCGCTGTCGTGGAACACTCTCGTCTTGATGAACACCTGTGGTCCGTGAACCATCGGTTTATTTCCTCTGATTATGCAATGGACATAAAGTAAACCTTAATGGTCAATTGGTTAATGATTTCATTGAGACAAATTTGATGCTATTCTAAAATGTCTTTTCGTTTCCACTTCCGTTTCCCTTTCCGTTTCCGTTTCATTGCTGCCCATTATTTTCACAATTAATTCCATTAACATTTCTAAGATATACTTCTAAAATATATAAAGAAGTAAATCGATGAAATGAATGCTATGATATGTTTTTTAGTTTGCTTATCTATTTATTTTGATCAATGATATTCGAATTTTTTTATTTATCATAAATTACAAACTTAACAAAGATTATTGAAATACCACTTTATTACTATTGTTACTATGTGATGAGCAGCTGGAACCGATGATATAGTGCTACAATATTCAAAATTGAACTAATTTGGATTGTCGTTGGTCTGATCTGTCTAAGGTCACTTCATTATCATTGCATAAAAATTTCTAAGGAAGAGTGTGGAAGAAGAGGAAGAACGAACACTGAAGGTTATATAATTGATTGGTGCGTTTAATTCTTTTTACTTCTCTACCACTGTTTGTGCCATCTTTAACAGTGACATAATGTCAGCAGTTCCTGAGGTGAAAATAGAAACACCAGAGGCTATCTGTAGTGTTATCATCACTGATACTACTGATACTACCACTACTACTATGACTACCACTACTGCTACTGTTACTACAGCAACTACTATTACTACAGCTACTACTACTGCTACTATTACAACTGCTTCTGGCATGAAGGAAGAAAAGAAAGATAGTGCTGAAAATCCTATTTCTTCATGCATAGTAAAGCAGGAGGATTCAGAAAATAGAAAATTGCATTCTGATTTTGCTATAAACTCGGCAACAACTCCAGCTACCGAGAAATCATCATTGGTAGCAACTGAAGAAAAAGCAAATTTGTTGCAGTCTTCTAGCAGTGATGCAGTTGCAGACAAGGGTGCTTTTACAGATAATGCAAATATTGATAGGCCTGAAATTGCTAAATCCTTGAAAACTGATGATACCACTGCAGGTGTTACAGCTAATGAAGTCATTGATTTACAAAATTCTGCTAACAATTTTGAACAAAATAAAATGAATTGTAAAATGCCTGATTCAACTGAGCCCAATCTTAACATTATTTCTGATCAAACTTTAAAACCTGAAACTGTAATACCTACTGGCTTGATGGTTTCTGAAAATCGAATTAATAACACTGCTGCTATTGTAGAACCATCTGATGCTGTTTTTGTATCATCTGGTGAGAAAAAAGAAAAAAACGATCTCAAGGATGGAGGAGTTACAGAGACAGGCGAAGGTATAGAGAAGGATAATTTGGAAAAGGATTATAAAGCAAAAGAGGAATCCACCTCTCTGGATGATAAAGAAGCAAGTAGTGATGAAGTGGATCACTTTGTCGATGCCAAATCGTCAACTCAGATCGATGGTGCTTCAGGTGATGATACTGTTGAAAATAGCGAAGAAATAAAGGAACAGACGGAGGAAATTCAGGATGAAGATGGATATGAATATGATGACGAGGTCGGTTTATAAGGCATCCAAAAATTTTTATTTCAACATCTTATAACGCTTCACTTTATAGGAGAATACTTCTAAACTTTCTTAGCTCATTTATGAACTTTTTTTTTATAAACCTCATTTATGGACATTTTAGTTCATTTATGAATTTTTGGCAGGTATTATTACTTTAATTGAGTTTACAATGCTTTAAAATTAACAGTTCGTTGAAGCAATGCTTTGGTAATTGTATGGATTATCTAAGTAGCTTTATAGTTTTCGGTATATTATCATCCTTCTTGCACCTAAAAAGATTCGACAAATTATTTAGGAGCAAGAAGCAGAACCAGATGATGATGAAGTTGAGGGCAACCCAGCATTCATTCCAAAATCTGGACGTTACTATATGCACGATTCAAGAAATACGGATGAAGAGCGTATGCCAGAACCGTCGTCACATTCTCGGGCAGATGGAAAGTGGAAGCATGATCGTTTCGATGAGCGTTCACAAGGACCGAAAACTAAACGAGAACTAATGAATAGATATGGTTATGACATACGTAATGAGGTAAGCTTCGATACGCTTAGTGGTACAACTGGACACATAGATAACTTTGAGGATTCGTTCATTTTTTGAGTAGGACTTTCAGAGACAGTCAAAAGTGTATAATTGCTAGCTTGATTACTTGTTATACTTGAAGAATAAAGAATAAACTCTGTATAACTAGGGCAAAAATAGTGGTGGTGGTGGTAGCATGAATGCTTCCGCACCACATTCCAGTCAAACTCGAGGTACAACGAGAGGTAGTAACAGTGGTGGTAATAAATATGGAAATCGAGGTAGACATTCAAATCGAGCACTACCACATCATCCACAACACCAACCAGATGACAGGTACTTTTTTAAATTTAGGATCAGTATTTTAATATCCGAACGTTCAGACTTGAAGAAAACAGTGGAAAATTTTGTTACCAGGAGATCAGAGCTTCAAAATACTTTCGAATTCAAACTTTTGCAACTTCGAAGTTCTGAGTCATAGCTAAATATTTTCAAGTTTCTTCGAATTTTGATATTATTTTCAGTTTATTTTTAATATACATTGCTGATTACAGAAGGGATCATAGGAGACCAGTGCAGAACAGTGGGGCAGGGAAACCGGCGAATCGAGGTGGTCGTAAGGGTGAGAATCATCACAATATAAACTATCAGCGAGATCAACATGGAACTAGAGTTTTCAAGAATTCACCCATGAACGCCCAGAAAGGTAGTATTATCACTCTTTTTTCTTTTTGAATCCGGAGGTATAATCTGGGTATGAGGACACCGTGGGTGGAGTCCACATCCACTTCAAATTTCTGCACATCTTTCTAGTTTAATGAATTTGCCATCACTTTCAAGCAACTGGGAACCTCAGAGTGTGTAAAAAAAAAACATCATTCTCCCTCTTCGTCCCAGAGTTCACTTAAGCAAAGAAAAGCTTTAAATTCGCCACCATACGAAGAAATCCGATGTCTGCTATGAAACTTTCGGGTTCCTTGCAATCTTGAATTCACACCACTCAAGTTATTTCTCAATCACTGAAACCCTTTCTACTTTTCCTTCAACGTCTTCCTTCTCATTAAACTTCTTCGCTTGCCAAATGTCTCTGATTGCCATAAAAGTACTGACCAGTTAAAATAATCATAATTTATGCCAGCACAAAAATTACACGTTTCATTCGATTCGAAACATGAGAATTTTAACACAACAATTAAATGGACTTAATTAGAACTGGCACAAAACAATTTTTAACAGAACTAAACTATAGAAGAAAAAGTAACTTCACCGAACATAGAAAAATATGACATATTCCCAGGAATACATGTATTTCCCGCTAAAGCAGACTATTTCATATATAATGATAACTGATAACAAACTGAAAAGAAAATTCCAGCTCCTTGAGCACTTAAAAACTTAGGCTGAGTTGCCGTTCAGCCCACGTGTATTCACTGTCAAATATCTCATGCAATTATTGACAGTTGAATAAGACGTTGCCGAAGCTGAAAGAACGCGTAACTCGGCTGGACGGCAAAATAACCAAGAAGAATAATCACTATGCAAAGCAATACTTGGAAAAGAACTCGGTTTATTGTATTTACAAAATCCGGAATAGAGACTCGTAATATGAGCTCGGTTAAAACACAGATGGATCATGTTTCATGACTTTAAATTTCCACGTGATATTAAAGAAACACAACAGACTTATGCTATACATAATGTACAATATTTCACTTAAAACGATATGCTTTCTGATAAGAAAATGCTCATGAAATTGAGACTCAGTTAAGAAGACAATTCAGTTGCAGGTCCTATAAATCGTACAGATAATCATCGATCGTATGACCGAAATGAAGAATATATGCATGACAATCGACAAAATGGTGGAAGAAATAGAGGACGAGGAGGCACTGGATTTAGCAGCGGTGATGCATCGACGGCACATAGTAAAGGCAGTGGTGCACATACTGGTGGAAAACGTTATTCAACCCAACGTTTGGCCACAAATTATGTACCTAACATACAACAACCCCCACCACCGCAACCTCAACCACCGCAACCACCACCACCACCACTTCAGTCGCCACCAACAACAGGTCCTATACCAATTCCGCCGCCTGATTGGCGTCCACCAGCTTACCAAGCTCCACCGCCACCATCCACTGTGCCACCACCACCACCACCGCCTATTGCAATACCGGCCCCGGTATCTAATTTCCGCCCCAGTGATATCGTCTATTTTGACCCACAACCCCAACAACTGTACCGTAATCCAATCCCACCACGAACCAAGAAGCGACTTGAAATTGTACCACCATATCAGGCCAAGAATTCGAATTAATTTTACATTTATTCGTAATAAAATCCTTCTAAAACGTTGAAAGTAGAAATAATAAAAATAAGTCACAATGAAACTCCTTTTTTCTCGTCAAAAAATTTTGCATATTTCATCGAAAATTGGAACCGAAATTTTATTCAAATATTTTTGTCTCAAATCAGTTTTTGTTGCCTAACACTACTGTTGTACAAAATATACTGTCACCAGTAATACTGGTCGATTTTTGTAATTTCTTAAACACTGTTTTAGCGATTACTGCTAATAAAGAAATCCAGAGAGTCTAAAGAATTTTAACTACCTGATGATTTTTTTAAGCATTACCATGGGAAGGGCTTGCCAGTGGTGTCAGTAAATCTGGAGTGTTTGGTACTTCATCCATTGCCAACATTGGATCACCACCTTCCAGCATAAGAGGTTGTCTTTCAGCTGATTCATCATCTTCCAGTTCATCGGTCAGCATAGTATCCCAGCAGGTTCCAAGCAGATCACGACAGCTATCAATAGTGTGCTCCTGTCCACTCAAATACTCAGCTAATTCTTCGGATATTTGTCTGTCCAAAGACGGGGACAACGAGATCGGATTGAGTGATATAGGAGTTTTAGCTGGAACCTGAGATAAATTAGAAGTAGCAGACTGCAAGTGTGCAGCAGTTATCATTGGAACCACTGCTGCTGGCTCAGTCGGCCCTACAACAACACCATTTTCCGGCTCGTCGGTAACATCCGCAATAATTGGGCCCTCATTGGAGTGTGCGCTAAATGTATTCAAATTTTGCTTCGTTTGACCGTTTGTATTATCGGAGATTTCGCGATGCAATCGATCAATAATTTCTGCAAGATTATTTGGTTGCCCAGGCTGCGTAGAAGTACTAGCCAGTCGTGCACGTTTGACACCAATCTGCAATTATTTATGCAGAATTTCTCGAAAAGTGCTTAAAAATTGTGCTAACTGCAGATATCTACATGCAGATATCTACACTTTATCTCTTCATTTCAATACTACTTCTAAAATTCAAATCCAATTTCATTGTTGAAAGCTGTCCGAGTTTTGTTAACTCCAAAGCTGAATAAGACTATTACACCATAAAAAGAATGACTCAGATTTTCCTTTGCAAACACAGACGTATATATAGTGAAGCAGTAAGGTCAGGTGTCTCCCAAAGTCCCCAAGGTAAGGGCAAGATAATCGAGAAAGAGCATTCTGAATTACTATCACAGCTGTTATTCTTTATTAATCCCAATAAAGAACCACGCATATAATGAAGCGGAATTAAAAATACTTCGTCGATTGCCAATAAATTTCGTTTCCCAAGACGTTTTTGTGAGGGTTGTACGAGTGCTACTAGAAACTGGACCAGTTTGTTGACAACATGCTGTTGTTTGACATGCTGATTTCGAAGATGTGATACTTGCTGCCACATTGCTTCATTCTCCCTGAAAATAAGTTCACCGCTTTTGTTTTAGTAGTGGCTGTTATAACAAGTCAATACCATGGAAGAAGAAAGAAACTATCTGCAAACTTTTCCACAGAATCCTAATCGTTCTCTATCTAATCGATCCACTGCTGATCCGAACTACTATCTTAACGCTATACACCTGAACTTGGAGAGTTTAAAATTTTATTTCCAAACTGAGTCCAAAAATTGCTGGGAAAGGAAAATAAATTCATCTTTAATCATCATAATTTTATATTTTTTACATTTGGTTCACTAACCTTAACTGGATTTCCAAAGGCAGAGAAAGCTTGAATATTAGTAAAAACATTCGTTAGATATATATCATTACATTTGTGAAGGACCAACAAGAGTAAAAAACAAAGGGCCAAAAGTCAAAAAAACCAAACTATAGTCTTCTCAGCGAGACTCTATTATGCCTTGTGTGCGCTATACTTCAGGATAACGATGTTTATGTATAAGTACATACTTCACAAGATGTGCCATTTTACTTTCCATTGTCCGCTGCTTTTCACGCAATTGTCGTATTTCATCCACAAGGACACTTATTTCTTTTGGGGGCATAGCTACTGAGTTATTCTCGTTGTTTCGATTACCCGGAGTTTTGCGTTTGATGTTAACTAATAATTCAGGATGATGTTGGATGAAATACGGATGAGAAAATTCCAAATGGTCCTGATCACTCTCAGACCGTGCCAAACTTGATTTCTCGATAGGCGTCATTTTTCGGAAACCATCTGAAAAGTGTTGGAATACATGATTTTACAATAAAACAAGAACCAACAAAAGTTTGAAAAAAAATATTTAGATAACGATATAAGCTGTAAAGTGTTAAAGCGTGAAAAGACATATACCGGAAGCCTCAAGCAAACCAAGATAATGTCATGTATCCGAGTAGCGAAAAAAAATACATCAGATATAGATTAAACAAAGAGTGGAACTACCTCAGCATTACGAACATTTTTAAAAGAAAGTCACATACAACCCTGTCTGCAAATATTTCCATAAAAAGCTATACTATAGTGAACGTCCTATATATGAATTTCCAGCCAGCATTACAGTTTCTGGACAAACTTCCACTTTTTTGACGACCAATATCGAGCACTTTCATTGATGCATGACTATTATACTACCGACATACTATTTAAGAACGCTCTTCTCCATGCATGTTACTATTATAAATTAAACTGTACCCATTCTGAAGAGAATAGATTATCTGGTAATCAATTCTAAATGAAAATTATGAAGAATAATTGGTAATGTTTGGAACATCAAAAAGAATGCTTACACATGTTCAGCTGGCGTATGAGACTATTCAAATTGTTGTGTTTGAAAAACTGCGGCAAGACTACTCGGCAAAACAGATGTGGATCCAAAACATGGAAACTGTACCCGCTCTAGAAAAAAAAAAAATAAATAGCGTTTATTCCAGAATCTGACTGGATTCACAGTACTTTTCAAGTCGTTCACTCTTGCCCATAAAGTTTCGATCTAGTCAGTGAAAGTCATTTTGCTTGTCGGAAGTTCTAATTTATTTATAAAAAGATTCTAAGCTTGTTCCAAATTCGAATTACTGCTCATTAAACTGAATCAGGAAGAATGTGGACTTCATCCTAAAAGTAAAACTTGATCCTCCATCCAATTTATTGGACAAGAACTGCATTGACCGGATATTAAGCTTAGTTTTAATCTACTCCAGACCAATCCCGATTTAAATTCATTTCAGTATGAATTCAACAATGAAGCTAATATAAGTACAAAAATTAAACCTTATCCCAGCATATTATATTTTGAAATTCCGGATCTTCTAGGATATTCCACATTTTCACGAGGAACATCGGAACCTTCTCCTCATCCCGATACTGTTGCAATAAATGCATGGGAAGGGTTGTCGTTGACGGACACTCTTGTCGAGGTAATTCAGTACATTCCTGGCGATGCACTTCTGTTAGTAATTTGGGTGGATGAACAAGAAGGGTTCCCGTTGAGGATGATGATAATGAAGGTGGTGGTGACTCCGCTAGTAGGTGATCTCTAACAAGGACTGTCCCCAATTGCACATCATCAAGTCGGACTTCCTTTTTGTCCATTCTTCTTTTTTTTTCATATATGAAACAAAGTCTGAAATTAATTTCACAATTTATCGAAAAGAAAAAGACAAAGTGAAAAGCTACCGCCAGAAGAAAGATTGAGCTACTCTTGACAACAATTTTGTAGCTTTCATCTTCTTCATGGATAATTTGACACCAATCAGAGCATCTAATTTCTGAAGTAATTTATAACTATCATCTCTGACATATGAGAAGATTTTACAAAGAAAACGTCATGTAGAGAAACTTAGTAAACAGTGAGTGTCCCAGGAATTAATCTTGACCATTCTTATCTTGCTCATCCCAAGTCTATCATGCGATAACTTACACAATCACCATCGGGATTATAAGGTAAGGTTGCTAGGCTACATGAATTCTCATTACTTACCAACTTAGTGAATGCAAAAGAACGAGGGAAGAATAAGTTACCTGCAAAATAAGGTAAATTACCCCATTCATCCTCATTATTCCCCAACTTAATGAGAAAAAGAATAAGTTACCCGCACAGTAGGGTAAACTACCTCATTCATCCTCATTATTTCCCAACTTAATAAATGCAAGAGAATGACGGAAGAATAAGTTACCTGCAAAGTAAGGTAAGTTATCCCACTCATCCTCATTATTTTTCAACTTAATGGATGCAGAAGGACGAGGGGAAAAATACGTTACCTACATAGTAGGATAAGTCATTCCATTCATCCTCATTATTTCCCAACTTAATGAATGCAAAAGAATGAGGGAAAGAACAAGTTACCCGAACAGTAGGGTAAATTACTCAATTCATCCCGGATACAATGTTGCGAAATTCCACCCATCTGTCAGGAGCAAATCGTTTCTGCAAACTCGTCCATTGTCAAGGAGATAAACATGCTTGACAGACTGTTAGACAGTTGAAAAATAGTACGGTCATCGTCTCATAGGATAAATGTGTTCATCACGTGCTACTTTGACGAGATTATTTGCAATTACTTGTCCCACACTTTTGATGACATGATTTAATGCTCTTCATCACTTTATGCGATATACATATACATTGTTATCTGTTAGTTATAACTGGTAGAAAATATTTCATCGTGTCATTTTAATGTCACAAATGTAATCTTTTCTAGGAAAGAAAAAAAATGTGACAATTGCGAACGCTGAAAAATGTGACGCTGAAATTCTCACTTAAAAGAATCGTATGATGCTATAAAATAAGCCGAAATCGTATGTACCTATTTAATTTCTTCACTTTTTTTCATTCATTTCTTTTCTTCTTTATTTCTCATAATTTGATTGTTTCAAAATATCAAGGAAAACCAAATGTATTAGGTTGTGTAATATTTCAACTCAAATATATTTTCATCAAAAAAGTACATTTGCAATCATTTATTGTCAGTAAATTGAAAAGTTTTACATATCGTTAACAGATAAACTAGAATATTAGAATATTGCATAAAATGTTATTTTGAGAAGAATATCAATTCCCTTTTTTTTTTTACCGAAAATACAGTATTTTGATATTACTGATCAAATATTTTTGCAGCACAATCGCGAATTATTAATGGTAATTATCTGAATATTATGGTTTGCATCGCTATATCATGACTTGGAGTTGTTATTAACTTTCATCTTATTCAATATTTTTACATCATGATAATTCCATTGGATCTTACTGGAGACATTAACTCAGTTTAAGTTTATTGCTTCTTTTCTTTTTTTTTTCTCTCTCAGTTTCCTCAATTTTTCCACTTTAGGATGTTAAAATATGTGGTGATAGTGGTGAAACTTACAAAAGATCATTGTAATCCTGGAATTTATGCTCAATAATAAATTAATCTTTATTCGGAACATTTTAACTAAACATATTTGACCTGCTAATAACAATAGTCTAGAATGTGGTAGTTTGTAACATGACGAGAAAAGGTCATTTCAATCAAAAATCATCATAATTTGTATGATTGCTGTTTTGAATAGAGCTATGCCATATTTTTGTCATTGTAAATTCATCTAATTATAATCAGATATTAAGAGTGAAATGTCCATCGTTTCAATTTTATGACGTCCTAATTTTTGCATTTCATACAATATTGCATTGATTGATTACAGTTATCAGCAAATTATCATTAGAAGGATGATTTATTGTAAATTACCTATATGAAGGGCAATAATTTAATTTGACCCCATTTATCACACATTATGGAATCATTTTAAGATACTTATGTGTCAGTGATGATTTGCAACATTCGACGAATTCGGTTGACCATACTATCATCTAACAGTGCTGGTGCATTCATCGAGAGGGAAGTTTAGTGTGTGACAATAACTCCTGTCATTGTTTTAGCAGATGAAATTAGAATATCTGAAAAAGCATGTCATCCATTACGATGGTATTATTTCTTCCAACATCACGTTGGAAAACTACATGTTAATGCTGTTTAAAAAGTTGAATATGTCGCAAACTTATCATGACGCAATAATTTCGAGAACAAATGCACATCTGTTAAGTTCAATTAATAGCTTAATTTAAAGAGTTTTTTCTCAAAATTACTGATGTTACCTGTGCTATTTTTTCTGCTGTTGCTACTATGAATACATTATACCTTATCAATGATATTATCAATAAGATGTCATATTTTACCTCCAACATCATCATCCTTTGTAGGTGATGATTTCATTTTAAGTGCTTATATTGAAAAATTTTTATTAAGTTAACAAAATACCAGGTTACTTCTGACAAAATACCAGGTTACTTCTGAAAAAATACCAGGTTACTTCTCATCATTGTTGGAAATTTTTTCGTTCCGACACTTATATTCAGGATTAATGGGATTGTTGAAGAGGAATGGTTTTATGAAGGGATCTCTTCCTTGATACGATCCGATATACGATTTTGCAATAGTCCTACTAAATCGGTGATCAAAATTATTTTTGCAATTATTTATGCAAATTCTGTAAAAGAAGGGACTAATATTTAAAGTAAACTTAATGTCACATTCATTTAACTGTTTTCATGAACTAGATATTTAATCGCATCATATGATATCGAAGATAATCGTCATCTTCTGTTATTTGGATATCGAAAAGCGATTTGTAGTATTTTCATGTTGGAAAGCAGTTTGCAGTATCTTTGCAGTTTGAACAGGTTCTAAAAATTAGGAAACGAAATTGGAACCAG